CTCAGCCAGGGCATTGAAAATGGGTCGTGGATGGGTATTCCAGCATGACAATGACCCAAAACACACGGCCAAGGCAACAAAGGAGTGGCTCAAGAAGAAGCACATTAAGGTCCTGGAGTGGCCTAGCCAGTCTCCAGACCTTAATCCCATAGAAAATCTGTGGAGGGAGCTGAAGGTTCGAGTTGCCAAACGTCACGCTCAAAACCTTAATGACTTGGAGAAGATCTGCAAAGAGGAGTGGGACAAAATCCCTCCTGAGATGTGTGCAAACCTGGTGGCCAACTACAAGAAACGTCTGACCTCTGTGATTGCCAACAAGGGTTTTGCCACCAAGTACTAAGTCATGTTTTGCAGAGGGGTCAAATACTTATTTCCCTCATTAAAATGTAAATACATTTATAACATTTTTGACATGCTTTTTTCTGGATTTTTTTGTTGTTATTCTGTCTCTCACTGTTCAAATAAACCTACCATTAAAATTATAGACTGATCATTTCTTTGTCAGTGGGCAAACGTACAAAATCAGCAGGGAATCAAATACTTTTTTCCCTCACTATGTATGTCTTTGGTTTGCATTTAAAAAATAAAATAAAAAATGTAGTAAATATTAGCTTATTCCACAAAGAAATCCTAAAATGGCCCTAACAATATTATTGACACCTTCTAGAAGTAGTTAGAAGTAATTAGATTTCAAGCAGATGATTCTCCTTTACTTTGGAATGAAGGTGCCTGCAATATAAAAATCACTAATTCAACCAGTTCGAATAGAGAAAAGGACTCATTCTCCTGTTTTGTGTAACTGTATGTACCGCAATGAGCATGGAGAAAAGAAAACCAGATAATTATTTGAGGAGGTCAGATACAAGATTGTAGCCAAGCATGGACAATCTCAAGGCTACAAGTCCATGTCCAGAGACCTTGATGTTCCTGTTTCCACCATACGTAATGTTATCAAGAAGTTTAAGGCCCATGCCTCTGTATCCAATCTCACTGGACATGGCCGCAAGAGAAAACTTGATGAAAGATTGCAGTAAAGGATTGTTCAATGGTGGATAAGGCACCTCGATCAACTGCCACACAGATTCAAGCTGACCTTCAGACACAGGGTACGACAGTTTCAACGCGCACCGTCCGTCGCCCTCTCAATGAAAGAGGGTTGTATGGTAGGAGACCCAGGAGGACCCCACTGCAGAGAGAGAGACATAAGAGATCCCGACTGCAATTTGCCAAAACACACCTGAACATGCCAAAATCCTTCTGGGAGATTGTCCTGTGGACAGATGAGACCAAATTAGAGCTTTTTGGTAAAGCACACCATCTCTATGTTTATTGAAAACAAAATGAAGCCTTCAGAGAAAATAACACCTTCCCTACAGTCAAACATGGAGGAGGTCCAGTGATGTTTTGTGGTTGCTTTGCTGCCTCTGGCACTGTGAGCCTTGAACGTGTGCATGGCAACATGAAATCAGGAGAATACCAAGGCATTTTAGAGAGCAATGTCGGACCCAGTGTCAGAAAGCTGGGTCTCCGTCGAAGGCTATGGGCCTTTCAGCAGGAAAATGACCCCAAACACACTTCAAAAAGAATCGGCTTCCTATTTCGCAACAAAGCCTCCTTCACTCATGCTGCCAAACATGCCCTCGTAAAACTGACTATCCTACCGATCCTTGACTTCGGCGATGTCATTTACAAAATAGCCTCCAACACTCTACTCAGCAAATTGGATGTAGTCTATCACAGTGCCATCCGTTTTGTCTCCAAAGCCCCATACACTACCCACCACTGTGACCTGTACGCTCTTGTTGGCTGGTCCTCACTACATGTTCGTCGTCAAACCCACTGGCTCCAGGCCATCTATAAATCACTGCTAGGCAAATCCCCGCCTTATCTTAGCTCATTGGTCACCATAGCAGCACCCACCCGTAGTCTGCGCTCCAGCAGGTATATCTCACTGGTCATTCCCAAAGCCAACACCTCCTTTGGCCGCCATTCCTTCCAGTTCTCTGCTGCCAATGACTGGAACGAATTGCAAAAATCTCTGAAGCTGGAGACTCTTATCTCCCTCAATAACTTTAAGCATCAGTTGTCAGAGCACCTTACCGATCACTGCACCTGTACACAGCCCATCTGAAATTAGCCCACCCAACTACCTCATCCCTATATTGTTATTTATTTTGCTCTTTTGCACCCCAGTATCTCTATTTGCACATAATCTCTTGCACATCTAGCATTCCAGTGTTAATACTATTGTAATTATTCTGCACTATAGCCTATTTATTGCCTTACCTCCATAACTTGCTACATTTGCACACACTGTATATATATTTTCTGTTGTATTTTTGACTTTATGTTTTTTTACCCCATATGTAACTCTGTGTTGTTTTTATTGCACTGCTTTGCTTTATCTTGGCCAGGTCGCAGTTGTAAATGAGAACCTGTTCTCAACTGGTTTACCTGGTTAAATAAAGGTGAAATAAATTTTTTTTTAAAAAGCACCCAGGAATGGTTAAAGACAAAACACTGGACTGTTCTGAAGTGGCCAGCAATGAGTCCAGATCTAAATCTCATTATAAAACTGGGAGAAGGAATCCTTCAAATATGGGAGAACTGGAGCAGTTTGCACAAGAGGAGTGGGCCAAACTGCCAGTACAGAGGTGCTGGAAGCTCATCGAAGGCAATAGAAAGCACTTGATTGCAGTTATTTTGACCAAAGGCTGTGCTACCAAATATTAAGTCTAGGGTGTCAATAATTTTGTCAATGCCATTTCTGTTTATTCTCTGATTTAAATGGATATACAGTGCCTTGCAAAAGTATTCATCCCCCTTGGCGTTTTTCCTATTTTGTTGCGTTACAACCTGTAACTTAAATGGATTTCATGTAATGGACATACACAAAATAGTCCAAAGAAATATTGTATTCACCCCCTTTGCTATGAAGCCCCAAAATAAGATCTGGTGCAACCAATTACCTTCAGAAGTAACATAATTAGTTAAATAAAGTCCACCTGTGTGCAATCTAAGTGTCACATGATCTGTCACATGATCTCAGTATATATACACCTGTTCTGAAAGGCCCCAGAGTCTGCAACACCACTAAGCAAGGGGCACCACCACGCAAGCGGCACCATGAAGACCAAGGAGCTCTCCAAACAGGTCAGGGACAAAGTTGTGGAGAAGTACAGATCAGGGTTGGGTTATAAAAAAATATCTGAATCTTTGAACATCCCACGGAGCACCATTAAATCCATTATTACAAAATTGAAAGAATATGGCACCACAACAAACGTGCCGAGGGGGCCGCCCACAAAAACTCACAGACCACGCAAGGAGGGCATTAATCAGAGAGGCAACAAAGAGGGAGCCTGAAGGAGCTGCAAAGCTCCACAATGGAGATTGGAGTACCTGTCCATAGGACCACTTTAAGCCGTACACTCCACAGAGCTGGGCTTTACGGGAAGAGTGTCCAGAAAAAAGCCATTGCTTCAAGAAAAAAATAAGCAAACACGTTTGGTGTTCGCCAAAAGGCATGTGGGAGACTCCTCAAACATATGGAAGAAGGTATTCTGGTCAGATGAGACTAAAATTTAGCTTTTTGGCCATCCAGGAAAACGCTATGTCTGGCGCAAACCCAACACCTCTCATCACCCCGAGAACACCATCCCCACAGTGAAGCATGGTGGTGGCAGCATCATGCTGTGGGGATGTTTTTCATCGGCTGGGACTGGGAAACTGGTCAGAATTGAAGGAATGATGGATGGTGCTAAATACAGGGAAATTCTTGAGGGAAACATGTTTCAGTCTTCCAGAGATTTGAGACTGGGACGGAGGTTAACCTTCCAGCAGGACAATGACCCTAAGCATACTGCTAAAGCAACACTCAAGTGGTTTAAAGGAAAACATTTAAATGTCTTGGAATGGCCTAGTAAAAGCCCAGACCTCAATCCAATTGAGAATCTGTGGTATGACTTCAAGATTGCTGTACACCAGCAGAAGCTATCCAACTTGAAGGAGTTGTGAATAGTGGTGAATAGTTATGCACACTCAAGTTTTCTGTTTTTTGCATCTTCAAAGTGGTAGGCATGTTGTGTAAATGAAATGATACAAATCCCCCCAAAATCCATTTTAATTCTGGGTTGTAAGGCAACAAAATAGGAAAAATGCGAAGGGGGGTGAATACTTTCGCAAGCCACTGTATTAAGTTCTGAATCAAAAACAAAGGTTCTGTAAAATGAACAGTGAAATAAAGAATTGTGGAGACTAAATACTTTGGTCAATTTCAACGTATTTTTAGGGAACATTTTGGGTTACTTGAAAAAAGTGCAAGGTTGCCAATATTTCTGGCCACAACTGTACATGTGAAGGCATTATGCGTCCTAGGTGTGGAGAGAAAATATTTGCTGTGCTGTGTACAGCTATATTTATATAGATGCTGGTCGTCTCCTCCCCTATAGGATAAGCAGGGGAAAGGTCTCTATTCCTTTATTCCAGTATTCCCAGCTCCCTCTTTTTATTTATTTAAGATAGTCGTTAATTGTGAAACAAAGGTCTAAATAGTGCAGTCCGGCAGTAGCATACAACGAACGAGTTCATCTGTGTGTGAGTCGTGGGACAGTCAGAAGCTGTCTGTCTAGCTACATTTTGGTGGAGTGTAGATGGCTTGCTAGTAGTTGTCAAAGCTAGCTAACTATGAATGGGAACGCGGTCGCTGTTTTGGCTGCAATGAGCTTGATACTTGGCTAAAAAATTGCTAGAAGAATAGTGATAGCTAGCTACCTAACTGGGTTGCTTGCATGGTCACTTAATGATTTTGTAGCTAGTAGCACAGCAGAAACATTCGATTGACGTTAGATAAATAACTAGCTAGCTAGCCCGGTGGTTAGTATGCTAGTCTAGCTAACGATGTAAACAGCTAACTTGGCTAGCTAGCTAACCTTTATTAACTAGCTAACTTTGAGCAGAGGGTCAGTCCCTCTCATTTGAGCACCGGATCCTTTTACATTATGAAAAACTGTGAATACCAGCAAATCGACCCACGGGGACTTTCAACACCCTCGTCAACGCAACCCTGTAACGTTACCGAAAAGAATGTGCAGAGCAGGCCTCGAAGAAAATGGGAAGTATTTCCAGGGAAAAATCGCTTTTATTGCGATGGACGGATTATTCTGGCCAGACAAAGTGGTATCCTGCCTCTGACACTCGGCCTTATCATTGTCACAAGTGGCCTTTTCTTTGCATTCGACTGCCCATTCCTGGTGACTCACCTGACCATCTGCATACCTGTGATTGGTGGAGCGTTGTTTGTGTTTGTGGTCACCTCCCTACTGCAGACCAGCTTTACAGACCCTGGCATCCTGCCTAGGGCCCTGCCAAATGAGGCTGCAGACATTGAGAAGCAGATAGACACCTCAGGTTCCTCCACGTACCGCCCCCCTCCACGCACTAAAGAAATCCTCATTAACCAGCAGGTGGTGAAGCTTAAGTATTGCTTCACCTGCAAGATGTTCCGCCCTCCTCGGACCTCACACTGCAGTATGTGTGACAACTGTGTGGAGCGGTTCGATCACCATTGCCCGTGGGTGGGGAACTGTGTGGGCAAGCGCAACTACCGCTTCTTCTACAGCTTCATAGTCTCTCTCTCCTTCCACACCTCCTTCATCTTCGGTTGTGTCGTCACACACCTCATGCTGCGATCCCAAGGAGGGAATGGCTTAGTCCTGGCCTTACAGGAGAGTCCTGCCAGTGTGGTTGAGCTAGTTATTTGCTTCTTCTCCATCTGGTCTATTCTGGGTCTCTCAGGTTTCCATACATACTTGGTGGCCTTCAACCTCACAACAAATTAAGATATAAAAGGCTCCTGGTCGAGTAAAAGAGGTGCAGAGGACTCTGGGAATCCCTACACTTACGACAACATCTTTACCAACTGCTGTGCAACGCTGTGTGGGCCCATGCCCCCCAGTCTAATTGACAGAAGAGGCTTTTTGACCCCTGAAGACATTCCACCTGCTGTTGCAGTGGATATGGAGCGTCCCCCTTTCCTGTCCAAGAATGACACAAACATGGTAGGGGCGCCATCTAGTGGCTACTTGTCCTGACTGTACTGTAGCTCCAAAGTTCCAACCCTGACCCTCGGAGAGTCTCGGTTGCATGCTCTTCACGTCCTCTCTCCGCGAGGAGTATGTAATTGAGATTCTGCCCCTGTGTGCCTGTCCTGCATGAGCCCACTATATCCCCTTCAGACCCCCCCCCACACACATATTGTGTCATAAGAGGGAGGATGGTTTGTAAGTCGCTCTGGATAAGAGCGTCTGCTAAATGATGTAAATGTAAATGTAAATGTTTGTTGATAGGTTTTATAAAGAGGGGCAATTAGGATGAGGTGCTACTGTTTTCTCTTTCTATTATATATATATATATAATTTCAATTCAATTTAAGGGCTTTATTGGTATGGGAAACATATGTTAACATTTCCAAAGCAAGTATTTGTATTTATTAGGGATCCCCATTAGCTGCTGCCTTGGGGTCCAAACATATTAAAGCACTTACATTACATATAAAACAAAATATAAAAAAGTACATCACATGACATTATGATACCACTACCTATCTACAATACAAAATGTTTAATACCACCATTCAACAATATCACAATGTGTGCGTATGCATGTGTCTATACCCTTGTGTGTGTCTCTTCACAGTCCCCGTTGTTCCATAAGGTGTATTTTTACCTGATGTGGAATAGAGTTCCATCTAGTCATGGCTCTATATAGTACTGTGCGCCTCCTATAGTCTGTTCTGGACTTGGGGACTGTGAAGAGACCTCTGGTGGCATTTTTTGTGGGGTATGCATGGGTGTCCTAGCTGTGTGCCAGTATTCCAAACAGACAGCTCGGTACATTCAGCTTGTCAACACCTCTTACAAAAACAAGCAGTGATGAAGTCAATCTCTTTTCCACTCTGAGCCAGGAGAGACTGACATGCATGACATTAATGTTAGCTCTCCGTGTACTTTTAAGGGCCAGCTGTGCTGACCTGTTCTGAGCCAACTGTCCCTCTTTGTGGCACCTGACCACACTACTGAACAGGTCTTTGACCATGACAGTCTACAATCCAGGGTTACTCCAAGCAGTTTAGTCACCTCAACTTGCTCAATTTCCACATTATTCATTACAAGATGTAGTTCAGGTTTAGTGAATGATTTGACCCAAATACAATGCTTTTAGTTTTGGAGATATTGAGGACTAACTTATTCCTTGCCACCCACTCTTCGTTAAGTGTTGCAGTTATTTCAGTTGCTGTAGTAGCTGACGTGTATAGTGTTGAGTCATCTGCATACATAGACACACTGGCTTTACTCAAAGCCAGTGGCATGTCGTTAGTAAAGATGGAAAAAAGCAAGGGGCCTAGACATCTGCCATGGGGAATTCCTGATTCTACCTGGATTTTGTTTGAGAGGCTTCCATTAAAGAACACCCTCTGTGTTCTATTTCGCAACAAAGCCTCCTTCACTCATGCTGCCAAACATGCCCTTGTAAAACTGACCATCCTACCGATCCTTGACTTCGGCTATGTAATTTACAAAATAGCCTCCAACACTCTACTCAGCAAATTGGATGTAGTCTATCACAGTGCCATCTGTTTTGTCACCAAAGCCCCATATACTACCTACCATTGTGACCTGTACGCTCTCGTTGGCTGGCCCTCACTACATATTTGTCGCCAAACCCACTGGCTCCAGGTCATCTATAAATCACTGCTGGGCAAATCCCCGCCTTATCTTAGCTCATTTGTCACCATAGCAACACCCACCCGTAGTATGCGCTCCAGCAGGTATATCTCACTGGTCATCCCCAAAGCCAACACCTCCTTTGGCCGCCATTCCTTCCAGTTCTCTGCTGCCAATGACTGGAACGAACTGCAAAAATCTCTGAAGCTGGAGACTCTTATCTCCCTCACTAACTTTAAGCATCAGTTGTCAGAGCAGCTTACCGATCACTGCATCTGTACACAGCCCATCTGTAATTAGCCCACCCAACTACCTCATCCCCATATTGTTATTTATTTTGCTCATTTGCACCACAGTATCTCTATTTGCACATCATCTTCTGCACATCTATCATTCCAGTGTTAATACTAAATAGTAATTATTTTGCACTATGGCCTATTTATTGCCTTACCTCCATAACTTACTACATTTGCACACACTGTATATAGATTTTCTATTGTGTTATTGACTGTATGTTTTTGTTTATCCCATATGTAACTCTGTGTTGTTGTTGTTGTTTTTATCGCACTGCTATGCTTTATCTTGGCCAGGTCGCAGTTGTAGATGGGAACTTGTTCTCAACTGGCTTACCTGGTTAAATAAATAAATAAAAGACAAGTAACTCTTTATCCACATTATAGCAGGGGGTGTAAAGCCATAACACATACTTTTTTCCAGCAGCAGACTATGATCGATAATGTCAAAAGCCGCACTGAAGTCTAATAAAACAGCCCCCACAATCTTTTTATCATCAATTTCTCTCAGCCAATCATCAGTCATTTGTGTAAGTGCTGTGCTTGTTGAATGTCCTTCTCTATAAGCATGCTGAAAGTTTGTTGTCAATTTGTTTACAGTAAAATAGCATTGTATCTGGTCAAACACAATTTTTTCCAATAGTTTACTAAGGGTTGGTAACAGGCTAATTGGTCTGCTATTTGAGCCAGTAAAGGGGTCTTTAATATTCTTAGGTAGCGGAATGACTTTTGCTTCCCTCCAAGCCTCGGGACACACACATTCTAGTAGGTTTAAGTTGAAAATATGGCAAATAGGAGTGGCAATATCATCTGCTATTATCCTCAGCAATTTTCGATCCAAGTTGTCAGACCCCGGTGGCTTGTCATTGTTAATAGACAACAATAATTTTTTCCCCTCTTCCACACTCATTTTACGGAATTCAAAATTACAATGCTTGTCTTTCATAATTTGGTCAGATATACTTGGATGTATAGTGTCAGCAATTGTTGCTGGCATGTCATGCCTAAGTTTGCTAATCTTGCCAATTAAAAGATTAGTAAAGTAGTTGGCAATATCAGTTGGTTTTGTGATGAATGAGCCATCTTATTCAATGAATGATGGAGCTGAGTTTGCCTTTTTTCCCAAAATGTAATTTAAGGTGCTCCAAAGCTTTTTACTATCATTCTTTGTCATTTATCCTTGTTTCATAGTGTTGTTTCTTCTTCATTTTATTCAGTTTAGTCACATGATTTCTCAATTTGCAATACGTTTGCCAATGGATTTGGATAGTGCTTTCAAACAAATCTCTTCAGCATTAGTAAAGATATGCTCAATACATGTTGATGATTTAATTCCTGTACTGTTTGTAACCACCCTGGTAGGTTGACTGATAACCTGAACCAGGTTGCAGGCACTGGTTACAGTTTGAAGCTTTCTCTTGAGTGGGCAGCCTGATGAAAGCAAGTCAATATTTAAATCACCCAGAAAGTATACCTCTCTATTGATATCACATACATTATCAAGCATTTCACACATGTTATCCAGATACTGACTGTTAGCACTTGGTGGTGTATAGCAGCTTCCCACCAGAACTGGCTTTGGGTGAGGCAGATGAACCTGTAGCTATATTACTTCAACAGTATTTAACATGAGATCCTCTCTAATCTTCACAGGAATGTGGTTTTGAATATAAACAGCAACACCTCCACCATTGGCATTTCTATATGTTCTGTAAATGTTATAACCTTGTATTGCTACCACTGCATCATCAAATGTATTATCTAAGTTTCAGAGGTTGTCAGAATATGAATGTAATCTGTTACTAGCAAATTATTGATTTCATGAACCTTGTTTCTTAAGCTACATATGTTAACGTGGGCTATTGTGAGCACTTTTCTTCTGGGATGCTTACATGTTTTTATTGCTTTACTGGGAAGCTTAGCAGCAGTAGATGTGCTCATGTTCTTTATGTTAGTGCAGGGTGAGCTGCACACAGTGGACTGCCTCCTCGGGCACACCGGCTCAGTGCTAACAGTACAAATCTGGTTCTTAGGCACATGATTACTGCACACAATAGCTGTAGGATCAGCAGAGGCATTCAGGGCAGTTAGAGGGACATAAATTAGGTTACGTATATTGTGTCTACCGACACACCTGATGTAATGTACATTTGCTGAAGCATTTTGACAACTCTGCGTCACTATGGTAGGGATTAGCTGAGCTGGGCTTGGGTCATTGCTAAGTCATTGTCTCAACGCAGCCTTATAATGCTGTCAAAGGATCCAGGAACCCAAATGATCCCATCCTCCTTATAAAACGTGTTTTGTTTCCAAAAGGTATCGAAATTGTCAACTCATTGAGCTGCAATAATCACGTAGCCAGTTGTGAAGAGGAAGAATCCTGCTAAAGCGTTCAATGCCACGATTCAGAGAGGGCACAGGGCCAGATATTATGGGGTTTTTGTTAGTGTCTAGCAGAGAGTCAATCAGCTCTTTAAAATCCAGTTTTAACTGTTCAGAGCTGCCCTTCATAATGTCATTAAAACCCACATGGACTACGATAGAATCGATTTCCATGTCCTGACGTAGTACATTCGGGAAGTAGATAGTAAACAAGAGTGAAATAAACAATCAAAATTAACAATAAACATTACACTCAGAAGTTCCAAAAGAATAAAGACATTTCAAATGTCATATTATGTATAGACAAGTTTACGCGCTGTATCACGGGTGGCGCCATAACTCTACACAAATGCATTTCATTTCCGCCGGAAGTTGTTTACACAACGTCTGCCGGTGTAAACACAGCGATGTCGACGCTAGCTTGGGAACACGGTTCTACTA